AAGAACTTACTTTTAATCACGTCTCCTCTTCCCACACCATTGCGATASCAAACAACAATTGACTTCTTGGTCCGCCTGCGGGWGCTATTCAAGGCGTATTGATTTCTCGTCTGAAGAAATTCATGTAATCTTTACTTCTGTACAAGATTATCTAAAGGTTTCTAAATTCAGAGAACGATTTAGTTTTTTCGTAAATCATTATATTTTATTTATAAGTTATTCATAAAAAGCAACATAAAATCATTATAAATACAAAATATATGCATAAAAATTTTTTTAAACTTAAAACAACACAACATTTTTCTTTTTAATAATATTTATAGTATAGATGTAATAATAATTATATAATCATATATTTCACTTAATTAAATTTTTATGTTTTCATGACACAAAACACGAAGAATATTTTAACGGTTTCAATAATAAAATACAATTGCGTAATGGTGTCCACAATGAATATAATATTTATATCATTATTTAATACATATAATTTATTCATGGAATAATAACATGTYATATCAATATAATAATAATAGTTTTAAATGTTTTAATAGTACTATATTATAATATCATTGTTCGGTCATAATATTATKGTTTATCTTGTGAAACAAAATCAATTTTCCAATTAATTAATTTACATTTTCAGTTCAACACCGGCTGCATAATTATTTTCAAAACGTTATATATTATAATTATTTATATCATACGACAATATAAAATATGGCAATCGGCAACAGGTCCAATGTTTTAACCCGTATTCATAGACGCAGTCTCTCATCGCAAATGTTTAATTAGTTCAAATTAAAATTTATAGATTTTATATGTTGATCGAACGTAATATTAACATTTTTACAGAAAGTCCCTAGCGAGTTACTTTGGCTTGCCTATCACGTCGTGTTGCCGCAAAAGTACGTCGGGGCTTYAAATGTTTGAAAACTTAATGAACCTTATAATATTATTAGTAATCGTTTCATTAGTGATAATAATGAATATTTTATTGTCCRTACCAATGATCGTGTACGGTCAWTGTCTAACATAGTATTGCTATTATAAGGGGTTACCGATGGACTATAATATAGTAAGCGTAAAAACTATTTAAACGTTCGTATATATATGCAGAGGAGACGCGTATATAAATATATATATATATATATAAATTAGAATATTATGTTTTGCATAATGCCGACCAAATCTCGTCACGGCAATCGCTCTGTACAATTCACAATAACCTCTCTGCTCGACGTTCGAGCATATCGCAGACGCAAACATAATATTATTATATTGTTTGTGTGTCTGTTTGCGTAAGCACACGTAACAACATCATCGGTAGAAATATTACGTTAAATGTAGCGAATCACGGTGAGGGAGGACGACGGAGAGCTGTAGTGATGGAATGGTCTGTGGGACGAGGGAGGGCATTGAAAAACGACTGTAATCCCCGACGTCTCCGCGTAGATGCGAATTTACGACGTACGTAATAATAACAATATTATGTACATGTGTATAATATAGTACGTCGTACAATAATGTAGTGTATTCGTGCATTATTCTCACTGGCGTACCCACACACACTCTCACCCACTCGATAGTCGTATCGGGCGCAGCTATAGTAGTTATGATAATAATAATAATAATAATAATAGTGATAGTGATAGTGATATTACTATAAGGGCACATTTTTTTTTATGGAACCGACGCGTCTGCCCGCATTTGGACTACCGACCGTGTTTGTATAGGCAGGTATTATACCGGGGTATAGGTATAAATAAGATAGGTGGGTGTTATCTATAAAGTTTTGAGCGAAACGAAAATGCACGCACGCACCCCTAAATACACAACCGTAAATTTCCCGTCGGCTGGGTCAGTCCATAACATTAAAATAATGTACTTCTGTTTTGTACCAACCTTTTTTATTTAATACTTCGAGATTCGATTACTTGTTATTATTATTTTAACAATTAGATTAAAAAATATATAAGTTTGATTATTTGGTAATATTTATTTATTCATTTTTTTTTATTAAGTTAATGGTTCGAAATCTGTGATCATTAGCCTCGCTTATTTAAGTAGGTTTATTACTGAGAGGGAGTGTACGGTTTGTTATAACACGTGTATATGTRGTAAAGATTCTAGAAAGAAAAGAATCCCCATCCGAGAACTAATGACACCAGCTAATTCTTTATCTCAGAACACATTATAGTGATTGAGGCCAAATACTGCACCACACCGTGCCACAATATTTATTTTATTTTAACCTGCAATTTAACTTTAAATTTGTTCTTAGTGGTAATACGATTTTAAATGATAAAAAAAGTATTTATTTGTATTAATAATAAAGATATATTCACTAATAGCATTATCACCCAAACAACACGTTTGTTCTACCTAATCGAAAATTATCAATATCGATGTAAGATTACGGTTCAAAAGAGTAGATACTAGATACTCGCTGTCTACTCTTAAGCAAGRCGTTTTCTTAAAAAAACAAAACAAAAAAAAAACTAAAAGAATAATAGTCCATCATTATTGTAAGAATATCAGAATTATATTATGTTCTAGAGTTTGAGATGGATGAAATTTATAGCTTAGTTTTCGAGGGTAGTGGTGGTATATTATATGGTACAATAGCTGTACGGATAAAACTTAAAGTATATATTTTTTATTATTAATATCGTTTCTTTTACATCGATATTGAAAATCAGTATCGTAATATCGAAAATAAAATATTTATTAATGATTTGGAATTGCACTCATTTATTATGTTTTTTATAATTAATTATTAATATACAATTGGATGTATTTTATACGAATTTAGTATTTTCGTACAGTATGATGAGWTGTTTTTTTWATAAATTYATAGAAATAAAATAGAAAAATAATATATATTATATATAATTTTTATATGATTGGCAATATTTGATTTAWWCGTTTAATATAATTGCTGTCAAAGAATAAATTGTAATTTATATCGAAATCGATATTAAAGTCGAATGTAGATGTAAGTACTTAGTTATWTYGATATCATATCAAAATATCYWTATCATTTTAAGTAATTAAATCATAACAATATTTTGGGTAGTAAAACTTTATTTTAAAGYCTAAGCATTCATCCACCACCCTTGTCCAACAACATTGCAGTCCTTATAATAATTATGAAGTGAGTTTTTCACACATTAATGCGGCTATTATGATATTTTGTTTTATCATTATTTTACGCTCGTTAATTGAACATAGTCGATTAAACCGCTGTCCACGAACTATAGTAGTATAACCTAATTTCGGCTCGGAACAAGCTAATTTTTTTTTATTAAATGCGGTTACGTCACGATATTTTGATACAGGTTATTTTAAACCTTCAAATTAGGTAATAATATTTTGATTAAAAATACACGAATTGGTAAACAAAAACGGTTTTAATAATAATAATAATTACTGTTGTGCCTTTGATGGTAAAGTTTTATAAAATTACCATCGGTTTTGAGTAATTCTCTACCTACATGATGTGTATTTTACTATAATAACTGCTGAAAAGATTATTGTATACAGTAGTAGTATGTTATATTTTCCGTAAATTTGTTCTCAAAATGTTTTCGTCATTATTATTATTATTACTATTGTCATTTTTTTTAGTTGAAGTTATTAGTTGGTGTTTATCGTGGGTAGAATATGATGGTTGGTTTTATAACACGTGAGGGGATTCCTCACTAAAAATCAATGGTCATACAATCAGCGGTTTTAATATTATTAGATTTTTCTGTTATAAATTATTTTATTTTTTTGGCTAATTGAAACCTGTTTTTGTAAGTTTTAGTCTCAGAGACTTTTACGATGTTATGATGATTGAATATTTTTTTTTCTCGAAACTACGGATAAAATGGTTATGACTGTTTAAAATATTATATTTTAAAAGCGTAATAAAACGTGAATTTGATTCATTTCAATATCATGGCCTATACACAATGTAAAAAAAAGTATTGATTTCCAAATATTGCATGGTAATCCTAATACTTTTGAACGACGGCGTCGGCTATAGGAAA